CTACATAGAATTGTAAGTTTTCTGGTTGTATAGGTTTTTTAGTTCTGTTATGTATTTTCTGAGCAGTAACAGTGAAAATAACACACAAATCTTACAGCTGAAGTGGAGGTTACCTAAAGGACAGGAAGGAAATTCTGCTTTGGCCCTACCTTCTCCTGTCCTGGCAGGTTCATTGTCTAGTGACCCGAAGGCCACTTTGCAGTAAATCCAACTACCATTCAACTGAAAACACTTCTAAATCAGAACAAGGCTTTAGGATTCAGGAGCCCACAAGAAAAAAAAAGATGCTATTGAACTATTGACAACATCTAGACAAAATTGCCAACTAGTCCTAGAAAGAAGGTTGCGTATGCAGCTTCATACAGTTGCATCCCAACAGTATTACAAGCTAGCAGTTTTTCAGCCTGTGTTTTCTGATGTATGTGTTGATCTCCCAGAGGGCTAATCTTGATAATCAAATACTGTAATTAATCTCACCCCAGCCACTTTTTAAACAGCACATACCTATTCTTCATATACAAGCTATGAATGAAAGTTACAGCAGATCCTACAGTCTCTATCGCTCATGTTCAATAGCATGTTTCCTTAGATGCTGTTTCTCTGTGAGAAAGATCTTTTGAACATTCTTACACATTCTTTATTGTAGTTGGCAGAATAATCATAAATAAAAACTGGTATAGCTCACAAGTTCCTAGGATTACTGCCAGGTCAATTGTGTTTATTATGGAGAGAAACTGAACTTTAAAACGTCTGGAATCTACTACAGTCAGAAGAATTCTGTTGACCCACTAACAGTAGTAATGCTCAGCGGTTGAATCTACATTTCAACGCTAGCTAAACTGAATCCCTGATATCATACCTGCTGCTAGTCCTATCTGCCAATATTCAGACATTCAGTATAGACATTTGCAGTGAGGAAAACTAGGTATGTGAAGTAGCATGATTAAGTACTGGTTCACTGCATATACAAACATCAGAGACAAGGCATATGTAAAATCAGCAGTGGAGATAGGCAGTATGAAAAGTTTCCATATACTTTGTTACTATTTTAATCTAACAATGAACGGGTTAAATATCTGACTGATGTTTGAAATTAATACATTAAACCATTCATTTGATAAATAAAATGCTACTCTGTTCAATCAGGAGAGGTACAGCATGGAATATGAGTAAGCTTAATCTATGTGAGAGATCTTCAAAACATTATTCGACTTCCCTGAAACTACAGAAGAAAAAATATAAGATACTTCTTCTTCAGGTTTCATTGCTTTTCCATCATCAGCAATGTTATAACAATCCCATATATATGTATAGCCTTCATTACTGAGACAAGCAGATCCTATATACTGCAAGCTTGTAAATCTTACCTAACAACTCCCTTATTAAATTTGAAACTACACACATCTACAATGGCCAGTTTCGCAATACACAAGGAATTACATGTCCTATATCACTAGTGTTTAATAGAGAATATATAACAACAGCATTAAAAATGAACTTGTGGTTAAATTAGACAATTTTAATAAGCTGAGATGCTGGAGAAATACTGAAAGAAAAAGATGCCTGCTAGGTCAGACTGTGGCAACATTTAACAATAGCTTTGTTATATGACATGTAAATGGCCAGGAATAAAATTGACCTACAAAGTCCATTTGTCCCCTACGTAAACATTGAGGAAGCAGTGACATTCTCTAAAGGACATTCTGTAAAGCTTGTCCAAATATTCATATTACAGCGTGTATATGTGATGCACAAAGATTTGCTCATTTTTAAACCTCGGTTCATATAGGTTCATAGTCTTTGTTGAACCTCTCTCTGTTGATCTATAATGTCCTATTAAGAAAGAAAACTGATAGAAAATGAATAAATACATTGTATGTCTCTTATCCCTGGACATAATCTTGGGTTTTTTTTCATGATTCTTGGAAGCATAACAAATTCCATTTATGACAACTCCAAAATGCTACAGTGGAACAAATTTGCTACAAAGTCATTGGACCTATATACTCCCCATCTAATGGGTTTCTGCAGAATTGGATCTGGTACCTGCCTGTAGTCTGACAGAATATTGATTAAATATGAAAGATACCCTAGCCTTTTATTTCTTAAACCTAATATAGCTTGCAACTGAGTTCAGAAATAGAATTGTATTATCTGGTTAACTCCTTTAGAAATTAGTTAATCAGTCGTTTGTTATTTAGTCTACAGCAGAGATTCTCAAACTTTGCACTACCACGGCCCCTAAAATGAAAAATGAATTTTGGGTGGCCCCACTGATGATTTAACTGGGGTTAGAGTTGGGAAAGAACTAAATACTGGATACCATTTAATTTTAAAATTAAATATTAATCTAGATACAGTTAAGTCTAAAAGGTTCATTAATATTCTTTGATAAAATTGGTGAAGTTAATACAGAGATTTCAGGATTTGTGCACGCTTAAAAGAAACAATATGGTACAAAGGATTAGAAACCCCATATATTTTATCTTTCTCCCAAAGTCTGATTTGTTGAAATATGTTGCTGTACATTGTGAGTTGTTTTGTAGTTTTAATATCAGAAATATTAGTATTTTTAGGCAAGAGTTTAAAAGAGTAATCTCATTTTAACTGTAAGGACATCAGTACCCAATTGTAGTTTTCTAGGAACTTGTGAAATGTTAATTTTCTGTTAGTATCCAGGATGTAACTTTGACATCGTCCAGCTTTCTATTGTAATGCAAGCACAGTGAATTCAATTTCTTCCATTCAGATAATTCACTGTCCATTCAGAAACATAGCATTTCCTTTTGATGATTGATTCAAGATGGGAAGTGCACTGTTATTTGATGATTCAGGCAACATTATGAGCAAAACCATTATAGATAACTGATGCTAGAAAGAATTTAATGTAGACAGTAATATAAAGTGTTTGTTTTCCCAACACAAAACTAATATTTATAAAAGCAGAAACAAATCTACATTCATCAGGTTTTCCAGGATAGGAATGCTGATTTTAAATGAACATCCTGGAGATTAGAAGATTGGGAAAGGCAATGTTAAAGAAATGTGAGAACAGAATGTCAAAAATGGAAAAGTGGCTCTCCAAATAGAGGACTCTAGTTCTCATGACTTTGCTAAGTTTACTGGCCATAAATAATTTCAGAGAGATTTACAAGCAGAAAATAAAGATAATGAATGTTAAATCCAAATAGTTTTAATCCCATTTTTATTCAACTGAGAAATATATTGTGAGAATGTTGAATGTAATCCAGAATTTCCTAGATATTTCAGGATTTATGTTGTTAGCCCACATTTTCTTTTTGAAAATAACATTGGCATTTAAAAATTAAGTATAAAAATAATGTCCATTAGCCTGCATTCTTAAACAGTGCTGATGTCTGCCATTTCCACTAAATGCCTAAGCTTAGGATACAATTTATATACACACTTGCTTGGAATATAACTTATTCATTTCAATGGGATTTCTCCTGAGTAAATATATATAGAATGGTTCTATTAGATAAACACTCCAAATCACTCTAATGTTTAATTATTACACAATAAATATTAAATATCAGTGTTACCATTCAATTATATTTTCAAATCACACAGGTTTTATATGTGAAGTAGTCAGCTGTTTTGATAAGAAACCTCTTCGTGTATACATCTTGACTACAGCAGTTATGAATTGCTACTCACAGTGTAAGAGCAGTTCAAACAGACACATTAATACATTAAATTAAATGTTGCACAATGCTTTTACAGTATTGTATGATGTAGCTACGGATTTCTATTTAACATACAAAAGAACATAGTAAATTAGTAAAAGCTAGAATTCTTAGCAAACTTCCTGCAGAATGAATGTCACTTAACTGGGATCTAGTTCTGAATAAATCTGACATATTTTTTTTAGAGCACATGGTGCATCATGTGACCACACGTTTTTATTTAGGTTGACATTAGTGCTTACCTAATGTAAAGCTCACTGTAAAACTTAAACGTTATCAGTATTAGAGTCATGCTTTTGTTAGGTTTCCTTCTGTGCAGGAAGCTTGTTCTCACATTTATTTTATTGTGCATACTTCACGTTTCCCTGCATTCACCCAGTTATGCATTAAAAAAAAAACAGTCTGAGAAAACAGATATCATTTCTCTCTTTGCAATGTTATTTTACAAAGAAGAAGAATATAGTCCAACGTTTAGCAAGTATTATCCCTTGAAAAGGGACGTGTTTTCCTCTAGACTTAAGTTACTGGTCAATCATGGAAAAGAATTAAAACTTTGTTGGTAGAGATATTCTGTAGTTCATAGACCTGTTATTCCACAACATAGTCAATGAAGACCTATTCATATCTTTATGACCATGACAAACAGGCTTAGAATTTCTCACAGAGAGGTTACATGTCTTGCTGTTTAGCCATATATACCCAGTTGGCTTTCGTTCCTTACAACTGGTACACAGGTATAGGTACTGTGCTTTCAGTAAGTGTAATTTGCAGAGTGTGAGTTGCTTGCTGATTTTTCAGTGCATGAAACAGCTCTTAGTAGGTTTTCCATCTGTAACCTGCATATAATCCTAATCTCATTTAACTGGGACTAAATTCTGCTGGAACGGAGTATCTGGAAGTGTGATGCCAGATAGAATTCAGAGGCATGAATGTCTGCAAAGCCCACACGTGCAGCAGACAGTCTCCTGAAAATATGAGTAGAAACAAAGGGCCCCTCATTCATAAATGGCTTCTTTGCGGGCTTTCTTTAAAAAGCAAAGTATAACATTTGAAAATATATTATTGATGAATGACTCTGGTTCTGGAAATAAGCCTCCTCGCTCTACTTTTTTTTCCTGATGGCTGTGAATAACATGCAATTTTATTAACGGTTGGCAGCTAAATTGTTTACTAAGAATATCTGAATACTTTGCCCTGAAATATAATCTACTCAACTATAAAAAGAAGAGCACATGACTGTGTTATTAAGCATGAGCCTCTGCACAGAGTAGAAAGGATACTTTTTTGTTTTACCTTCATTAGCCATTGAGTGTTGTTTTCGAGGATATTTTCAAGCAGCTGAAGCCTCTGAATGGAATCGTCATAATCTAACGGGGCATCTCTTTGCACAGCATTAGAAACGTAGGAGGTAGTAGAGGAAGACCGGCAATTGTCCATCTCAGGCAGAAGGAAAGTATAGCTGCACAATCCGTGCTGGACTTGGTATTGCTTCTTGCCTAGAGTCTCAATGCTTTTCCGAAAGGAATTGTAGCCTGCTATTAGAACAAGATTGCAGCTCAAGAAATAACAAAGAGGCAGCCTCATTTTCTCCTTTGTAGATCAGCCAGCTGAACTTTGTCAAAGCTTCAGATGGTGCTGAGAGTCTCTTTGAACAGTCAGATCAGTGCCGCAGTGACATGTGCAAGTCAGACGAAAGAGTTTCTTCCTGTGTCCCAAGCGTGGCTGAAAACAAACTGTCACAGGCAGATTTTTCTCAGCTGCTGCTTGATCTGTGCTCCATTTTCAGGTGTTGGGTTTTCATTTTTCATTCAGACAGACAGATACACAAGCTGTTCTTGTCTTCAGATGGGTTGATAGCACAACCCAGGAGGCATGTGCAGCGAGAAACACTCCTCTCTCTGCGTGTATCCGTTATCTTTCTGGTGAGGACTGCTTTGCAAGGCAGCATGACGGTTCAGAGCATGCTGTTTTATTCCTGTCCTGAGTGGCAGGAAATCTGTCTAGGGCGAAAAGGGGATCAGCTACGAGAGCAGTGTAAACTTCCTAAGTTAAGGGTCTGTGACATCTTTCATAGACCCTGCGACATAATATAACCTTCTATTATGTAGTGTGTGTTTTACAGTAAGAATGCAGCCATTGTTTTTAATACTTTAAAAGCAGTCGCATACAGTACATTCTTTTCTTGTTGGGAAGATGGGAACAATCCCTTTCAGTTTCATCATATCCACACTGTGTGATTTCCTTAACATTTTGTGTAAATGGAATCTTTCTTTCAAACAAAAGCAGACTTCGCTTTAGCTGTGGGAGAGAACTAAATGAATATTTAACCTAACATATTAGGAAACCACTTACTGCTTTGAGGAGGTCAGTATGTAGAATGCTGAGAATTAATTTGAGGAGAAAGAAACCATATGCTTAAGATGCATTTGCCCTGTTTAGACATCACATTTAAAACCTACTCATATGTCTATCCCTCTGTGTCCTCCAATCCCTCCTACCCTTACTTTCTGGCTAGCACAAACCATAGTTTGCCATGGCCTCTGTATTCAGCAGATGATGGTTTGCACAAATGAGACATTTGTAACTGGAAGTGGATCCCTGATTCTGATTTGGTGCAAACTATTATTTGCCCAGTTCCAATATTCTGGCAAACTAAAATTTGCAAGAGACATGGGAGAATGACACAGAGGCTATATTCACACAATAAACTTAATTAGGTTAGGTAAAAATGTATTAGTAGCATTCATACAACATGCTAAGCTTGTTTAGTATGAGATAGTTTTGTTGTAGCCTAGCATGTAATATGAACCTCAAAAATGGATGAATTTAGTAACCAAGCTATGTGTCTTGTGTGAATGCACTCACTGTGTGCAAGAGAAAGGAGAGAATAAAGTCCATTATACCTGAACTGGCAGCTGCCTTTTTCCACCTTCACCTCTGTAGGACATGAGGAAAGAAAGTCACCCAGCCTAAGTATTTTTTTTTTTTTTTTACTCCAAAGGGCAACTCATGAAAGCCTATTTATGTAGAAACCTTACACTCCAAATATCCCAGATACCTAAGAGCCACTTTAGGATTTCTTTCCTCATCCCCCCATCCCCTCTGCCCCTTTCTTCTCCCTTCTTTCTTTGCCCTAAAGAGAAAACTGAAGGGAAAGATTTGCATAAGGATTACAAATTACATTATTTATAACATGCCATATGTCTGTCTCTATGTGTGACAGCATGTACAAACACAGAGATTTCATTTTCATCTAAACTTCTCCCTAAAAGGATTAAAATTATGTAGAAGCTATTATAATTGGTTGGCTTCCTCCACGCCCATGTTTGCAAATTTTAGTAAAAAGTTGTGAAAGAAATATAGATAAAAGCCAGACTTCCTTTTCTTTACCATCTTCCCCACTTTGATGTCCTCCAGCTGTGTTGGGGCACAATTTCCAGAATTCTTTGCCAGCATTGCCATTGTCATCTTCAATGACCTCTAATGTCTTAGGGCAGGCTTTCCAAATCTTGATTACTCTTCAGACGTATAGGCTTTAACTTCCAGAATTCCTCAGACAGCATGATCATTGCTGAAAATTCTGGGAGTTGAAATCAATATATTTTGAAGATACCAAGGTTGGGGAAGGATGCCTCAGAGTATTAGGTATTCCACCTTAGACTTCAATATCTCTTGACTTCATACATCATAATACTTAGAGTTAGCGTTGAACATACAACATCTAATCAAAAAATAATAAAAGACATTTCTAGGACTCTTTCTCAGCCTGAACAAAAATAACACAATCTGGAATGGGGAGAGGGAGAGGGTTATATAGCCCCGGTGTGGCCCATGACATACTTTCAGAAATGTTCAAAAGTTTCTATTTTCTATTTGTAGTGTTAATAAGATAGGGTTGTGGTATAGGTATGGGAGGAAGGGGAGAAGCAATATTTCCATGCCTTTGAATCTGAAGAGATGCAGGCATCTTCTCCACACGTGCACCAAATTCTTTTTCAGTGATGCCCACTGTTGAGCATATTGCTGGGTATGCTTGTAAATAAGCACTTCCTATATTTGTTAGCAACTTAAGTTCTAAATACAAGAAAATTGCGCAATTTGATAAAGGGTTGTTTGAAGCTATCTTCTCTTTTAACCAATAGTTGAATTGCAGTGGAAAACTACAGGGAAATATATTTTAAAAACATTGTTTTACTAGTCATAAATTTAACTATATTCATTGTTGTTCAGTTATTCAATCACTTCTACTTTTCATGACATGATGGACACCATTTTGCAATCTGTCAGTAACTGCTTCTTTGGGTTCCTGTAAACTCATGCTTGTGTCATCAGTGGTAGTCTCTAGCCACCTGTTTCTATTGCCTTTGATTTTTCTAAGCACCAGGCTCTTCTACAGTGAATCTTGCCTTTGCATTATGTCCAAAATATTTAAGATTTAGCTTCATTTTTAGTCATTCTGGTGAGCAGTTTGGTTTTACTTTATCTAATATTGAATGATTTGCTCTTCTGGTGTTCCAAGGTATTCTCAACAAGTTTCTCCAGTGCCACAGTTCAAAGGCATTAATTTTAACCAGTCTTTCTGATGAACTATGTTACACCAGGAAAAGTCATGGCATCAACAAGACACATCTTTGTTGTCAGTGTGATGTGCACTTTATTATTTTGGCTAGATCTGTCATAGTCTTTCTCTCAAGTAGCAGATATCTCTTTGTTTCATTGCTATATTCAGCATTGCTGTTAAATTTTGAGCCTAGGAAGGTAAAGTTTGTTACTACTTCAGTTTCTTGAAATATTGGGTTGGTGTTGCCTATTGATGTAATCTAAATTTTTAAAATAATTAACAGTAGGATTTCTGCTCTCTTCTTTCATCTTCAGCAAGAGATTCTTTTTATCTTTCTGACTTCCAACTATCCAAGCAGTATCATCAGTGTAGTGGAGATTGTGGATGTTTCTCGCAGCAATGTCAATTGCAATTTATTTTTCTTCTAATCCAGAATTTCTCACAAAATACTTTGTGTATAAGTTAAATGAATAAGATGACAATACAGGTAGACCTCGTTTAGTGACTGCCTGAGTTAGTGACTGTTTGCAGTTATGACAGTGATTAAAAAGTAACTTTATGACCAATCCTCGCATTTATGACCTTTGCAGGTTTCTGAAGCAAAGGAAAGCTGAAGTAAGATCATAAGCATAGTCACAGTTTCACTTAGTGACCACTTCGCTTAACAACCGAGTTGACAGTCCCAATTGTGGTCACTAAATGAGGACTACCTGTATACAACAGTGGTACACTTTTCCCAACTTTGAACTATTTAGTTGTTCCATATAGTGTTCTGTTTCTTCCTGGTTATCATACAAATTCTTCAATTCTTCAATAGGCAGATGAGGTGGTCCAGTAAGTGGGGTTTTAAGGGCTAAACTTAAATCCACAATTTATATTCATAATTTGTTAAGGTCTACATATTCAAAAGTCTTAATATAATCAAGCAAGCAAACATAGACAAAAGCAAAGATATTATTGATTTTAAAAAGGGTGGGCTTTGTTTTTCTCACATTATCTAGAATTTATGCTTTAACTTCCATCCTTGTGCATTGTGTCATATTTTTCCAGTAAATTGACCCTCCCTGCCCCCAGACAAAGCCCCCTGCAATCCCATCTAAACCAAAGAATAGAATCCTCACTTACCATCCCACAGTGCACCCCTAACAAGGGAATTGCAACATAGAGAAAGCCCAACCTTCCATCCTCAAACAGCCTGATGACCTCAACATTCCATCTCCTTAACAAGGGACTTCCACACCTCTTTGCCTAACAATAGAAATAACCCAGGTACATGGACAAGGACCTGCTTAGGTTCCCCAAAACTGGCCAGCAAATCAGATCCCTAGGATTTCCTGCCTTGTAGTCCTCAACTTCTACAAAAATCTTTGCTTTCCCGTTGTTTGGGGTCCTTCTCTTGTAAAGCAGCATGGTTCCTTCTCAGTGCCATGCTCTGTACTTTTGAATTTTCAATGACATTTTTCTTCTCCCATACTGATATATCAGATGCTTTATCTAGACCAGAGTAGATACTTAGGAGCTACATCATAGTGAATGGCATTAAAAATCAAAGTGATGAAATGATTTGAGATAAAACTTAAGTGAGGGAATGCCTGAAAAATGAATTGGAGAAATGTAAAAAGATTTGATGTGGTTTTCTTTATGCAGTGGCTTTATGATTTGTTTAATGTATATGAAGACCACATATGCCGTATAATTGAAACAATGTCATCACTGTTCTCCATGCAAAACAGAAAGTTAGCAAGACTGTTAGGTTAGTAAGAGTTTACTAAGTCTGCCTAGGAAAGTGCTCGGAAGTATAGATGAAGTATGGAAATACAAGTACAGTGGGCGGCACTTGGACCCAGAGGGACGACAACAGCTGCACTGGCGGCAGGAGAGTGCTGGTGGTGGCTGCTGAGTCTGTACCGTCTAGGCCGGGAGCGATGCCCAGGCCCAAGAGTGGCGACAATGGTGGCAAGAGTTGGTCCAGCTGGGCTGGGAATGGCTGTGGAGCCAAGGCCCACACCCAATGCTGTGAGTTTCAGTGGCAGCACCGGTGGTGAAAGCACGAGCGGCGCAGCAGCACGGTGGCAGTGAGAGCACCAGGGGCGAGGCCAAGGCAGATCCAATTGCAACGGTGGAGCTGGAAGCCAGAGCCTGAGGGACCACAACACCCGAAGCCCATAGAGACACTAGAACCTTGGGGGGTCTGGGCTCTAGCCCCCTAATGTGGCAACGGGGCTACCCCTTACCCCCAGAGAAGAGGCTGGGGGGACTGGAGTGGTTGTGGGGTGCACGGGTGAGTTGGTGTGTGGATGCTTGATGAATGTGCTACCCTCTTCCTGGGTGTGAGGCGGCAAGAGGGTAGGAGTGGATGTGGCCCTCTTCTCA